AAATAAATAAATTTTAAAAAATCAAACTTTTACTACTAATTTTTCTAGCCGTCAAATATTACCGAATAAAGTTATGAAAAGTACAAAAAGTTCTTGGATCTGTAGTTATTTTCAATGTTTCAAAATATCTTGGGTTCTACCATAAAATTATAAAAATTCATACAAATAAATTAACAAATTCTAATTATCAAAGCATTAAAAGGGCATTATAATTCTTCAAGTGAGATTCCATAGGCAGTGTAAAATATGAAAGAGAAATCTTATAGTGTATATAAAAGGTGCAATGGTAACACAAGGATGGCTGAGTCTGATTTCTATCTGCTTCATAAAGGGGAACAGTCTCCATCAATAACATTCATAGCACCATACAAATAACTACATGGTCAGACATGCCACCCCACATGCTTCTACATCTTTTTCTATCTATGAATCGTTTGGTCCAATGTTCATTGCTAATTGACTTACAGACTTTACTCCTAACTGTGGCGTTTTTTTAGCAAAATAGGATGAGAGTGGGGTGAGGCAAAGAATATCACATATATAAAGCATAATGCATGAGAATAATTATAAAAAACACAAATTCATCCTGGAGAGGGTTAAACCAGGCGGCTCCTTGGAGGCAAGGATTCTGAGGCTTCATCTAACATACTTTGGACATGTTGTAAGGAGGGACCGACCGGTCCTTGGAGAGCGACATCATGCTTTGGAGGTGGAGGGACAGTGTAGGAGGGGAAGGCCCTCTATGAGGTGGTTAATCGGGATGGGTGTATCAGAGACAGCAGGATTGGCACAGGACAGAGTTTAGGGCTGTTGTACATGGGGTCACTATGAGTTGTGACTCAATGGCACATAACAACAACAACAACAACAACAACAACATGAGGCTCTCTGCTCCTTATCGATCCAGACTGACCTCTCTTTTCGTGCAGCATCAGCCGCATCCCTGAAACATGATGGTGAAGGTCGGAGTAAACGGATTTGGCCACACTGGAAGCCTGGTCACCAGGCTTTTTTAACTCTAACAAAGTGGATGTTGTTGCCAACGATGACTCCTTCATTGACCTCAGCTACATGGTCTATATGTCTGAATATTATTGCATCCATGGCAAGTTCAACAGCACTGTCAAGGCTGAGAATGGGAAGCTGGTTATCAATGGGAAAGCCATCACTACCTTCCAGGAGTGAGATCCAGACAACATCAAGTGGGGTGATGCTGGTGCTGAGTATGTTGTGGAGTCCCCTGGTGTCTTCAAAATCTTGGAGAAGGCTGGGGCTTACTTAATGGGTGGTGCCAAAGGGGTGATCATCTCTGCTCCTTCTGTCGATGCCCCCATGTTTGTGATGGGCGTGAACCATGAAAAGTATGACAACTCTCTCAAGATTGTCAGCAATGCCTCCTGCACCACCAACTGCTTGGCTCCCCTGGCCAAGGTCATCCATAACTTCGGCATTGTAGAGGGACTCATGACCACAGTCCATGCCACCCAGAAGACTGTGGATGGCCCATCTGGAAAGCTGTGTTGTGATGGCCGTGGAGCTGCCCAGAACATCATCCCTATATCAAATGGTACTACCAAGGCTGTGGGCAACGCCATCTCTGAACTGAATGGGAAACTTACCAGCATGGCTTTCCTTGTCCCCAACCCCAAAGTGTTAATTGTGGACCTGACCTGCCATCTGAAGAAAGCTGCCAAATATGATGACATCAAGAAAGTAGTAAAGTGGGCATTAGAAGGTCCCCTCAAGGACATACTGGGATACACTGAAGACCAGGTTGTCTCCTGTGACATTAATAGTGACACCCACTCTTCCACCTTTGATGCTGGGGCTGACATGGCCCTGAACGACCACTTTGTCAAACTCATTTCCTGGTATGACAATGAATTTGGCTACAGAAACCAGGTGGTCAACCTAATGGTTCACATGGCCTCCAAAGAATAACAAACAGCCTCTTGCAACACCAGCCCCAGCAATAGCACTGGAAGAGAGAGAGAGAGACCCTCAGCTGCTTGGGAGTCCTTGCACCAGCTTCATCCTCCAACACACTGAGAATCTCACATCCTTGATACAGTTTCCATCCAATCCCCTTGAGAAAGGGAAGGGGCTTGGAGAGCCCATCTTGTCATGTACCATCAATAAAGTACACTGTACTCAGCAAAAAAAAAACACAAAAAAAACCACACCCCCCAAAACACACACACACCCTCCACCAAAAAACAAAACCCACCCAAACAAAAAACCAAAACAGTATGAGTGAAGAATAGTGTGAAATACAATATATTCAGTTCAGCAGCACAAATAAATAAAAAAAAAAACCAAACCAACCAACCAACCTCTGGTTCCTCAATCGTCCAGCTAACTTTATCTAGTTACAAGTCAGCTTTTCATTCAATCATACAGCAAGCAAAAATCTTTTTTTTTTTTAATTTAGGTTGTTTATTTTTCATTTCAATGAACATCTACAGAGATTTTGGCAAAAATCTTTTAACTGTAGCTCCACCGCCAGCATTCCTCTGGTTAAACCTTGCCACAGTCTCTTCACAGCAGTGCCTGTTTTTTCACCCTCTCTCCATCAGTGCTTCTCACAGCATTTTCAGTTCCCCCAAAGTGTGGAAATCACTCTCTCTAACACTGCTTCCTCAGCTATTGATGATTTATAAGACTATGTGTCCACAGTTAAGGGAGCTGGAGACAATGCTCCGCAACAGGGGCTAACACAATGGTTAGAGGAGCCAATTTTCAAGGGTTCAGATATCAATGGGTACTATTTTAAAGTTTTTCTTTTTTCATTAAAATATTAACAAACTCATCTCAACTCATTGCTGCTAAGTCGGAAATGACTAATAGCTGACAATCCAATGGGTTTTCAGAGGCTGTAAATCACATAGAAAAAGACTGTTTATCTTTTATAAAGCAGCTGATGGATTCAAACTGCCTGTCTTTGGGCTGGCAACTGTCATAAGCAACAGTCTATGGAAAAGGAATGAGGAGAAATTAACAGCCTAGTTGCTGTTGCTGTGTGATGTGGAGTCAGAATCAACTTACAGTTCACCCTCCGATGGGTCTTTAGAGGAAATAAATTACAAGGAAAGAGATTTCCCCCCATCCTTCTACCTTGGGGCAAGCAAGCTCGGATGGCCTAGTAGCAGGGGGCTGTGCTGCATTCCCAAAGGCACGTAGTTCAAGGCCCCAGCTGTTCCTCGGGTGAAGGTTGGGCAATCTTGTCCTGTGTGATTAACTTCCTCTGAAAATCCGCCAGAGGGGCAACTGTGGGTAGGTTTCAACTCCACAGTACACAACAAACTACCTTGGGGCAGCTGTTGGATTTGAATAATGTGCCCTTGGGATTCTAGCACCACTTTTTGCTACAAGGTCACTAGAGCTCCCTAACATCCTAGAGTCACCTGTATAATTAAAGCAAGAAAGCTCTGGCTTTGCACTACCCGCAAAAACACATTAGAATGGTGGTAAATCCTCACCTTCATCTTAGTTTCTTACTGTTCTGTGACAGCTTCTGTTTTCCTATGATGCTGGAATCTATGCCACTAATAAAAACTGGACTCAGCAAAGCTTCCAGAGTAAGGTTAACAGAAAGGCAATCTACTTCTGAAAACTAACACATGAAAATATTACATCTCATCCTCTTTGGAAACATCATTGTTACCACTATTCTAAGCTGTCATCCAGTCGAGTATGATGCATAGTGACCCTATCAACAGTGGACCTGAAACTCATCCTATTCTGTGACATCTTCACACTTTCTGACACTCTGGAGCCCACTGAGACAGTCTTTTTGTAAATCCACCTGGTCAAGGACCTAACTCTCCTTTGTTGACCCTCCAACCTTCCAAGCATCATGTCTCTCTTTAAGGAATAGTCCCTCCTGGCAACATGCCTCCAAAGAACACTCCAACTGCACCCTCTCCAAGACATATTTGTTTATTCTTCTGGCAATCCATATTTTCAGTGCTCTTCTCTAACACCACAGTTCAAAGGCATCAATTCTTCTTCTGTCATCCCTATTCATTGTTCAGCTCTCAGATGCCTAACAAATGGTCAGAAAGACCATAGCCTGAATCAGATGCACCTCAGTCCTCAAACTGATATCAATACTCTTCAATAATTTGGAGAGGTCCCTCACTGTAGACTTTCCCAGTGCAATGCATCTCTCTATTTCCTGACTGCTGGTACCAAGAATGTTAATTGTGGATCCAAGCAAGATGAAGCTGCTGACAATTTCAATCTCCTCTCCACCCATCATGATGTTGCTGATCAGCCCAGTGGTAAGAATTTTTGTTTTGACATTGAGATGCAATCCATATCGAAGGCTGTATTCCTTGAGCTTCTGCAACATGTGCTTCAAGCCCTCCTCACTTTCATCTAGCAAGGTTGTGTCATCTGCATAAAAGAAGTTATTGATGAGTCTCCTTCCAATCTGATGTCATCTTCCTGTTCATAGAGTTCAGCTTCCCGAATAATTTGCTCAGCATGTAGGTTGAATAGGTATGGAGAAGGAATACAACCCTGACACACTCCCTTCTTAATTTAAAACCATGCAGTATTATCCTTCTCTGTTCACACAACAGCTTCCTGATTCAAGTGTAGGTTTTGTATAAGCATAATTAAGTGCCCTGGGTCTCCCATTCTTTTAAATGTCATCTATAACTTGTTATGATCCATACAAAGCCAAATGCCTCTGCGCAGTCAATAAAGCACAACTAGTCATGATTCTGGTATTCTCTACTTTCAGCTAGGATCCATCTGCCATCAGCAAAGATGTTCCTGCTGCCATGGCCTCTTCTAAATCCCGCTTGAACTTCTGGCAGTTCCCTATCTATGTACTACTCTAAGTATTTTAAAAGATCTTTAGTAGTATTTTGCTTGCATGTGGTATTAATGATATTGTTTGATAGTTTCCACATTCTGTTCAATCACCTTTCTTGGGAAAAGGGAACAAATATAGGCCTCCTTAAACCTGCTGACCAGACAGCTGCCCTCCAAATTTCCTGGTATAGACTGGTGTGTCCAGGGCTGCAACTGTTAAAACAAGTCAACTGGCATCCCATCAATTCCTGGGGCCTTATTTTTTAGTAATGCTTTTAATGCAGCTTCCACTTCCCTCCTTCATTACCACTGGCTCCTGTTCATATGACACTGGAAACATCATTGGGAACAATCAATCACTAAAGGAGGATTTTGGGTTTGGTAAACTACGGGCCAGTGAAGATGAAAGGAGATCCCGAATAAAATGTTACCAGAAAGATGGACCCCACATGTCAGCAATCCTGAGGATGACAGAAGACTGAGCAGTATTTTACTCTTTTGTACATAACTTGGCAAGATAGAGTTAATCTGATGGTTGTTGAATAGTCAGGCTATTAACAGAGAGGAACTAAAAAATATTACCATATAGTAAGCACATTATTGTTAGTGTTAGGTGTCAATACCAACTCACAGTGACGCTATAAACAACAGACCAAAACCATACCCTATCTTGCACTATTCTCACAATCTCCATCTTCACAGTGTCAACCCATTTTGTTGAAGGTCTTTTTCTATTTTAATAAGTACTGAACATTAATGAATAAAGACTAGATGAACATAGACTAAGAAGGAAGAAAAGACCAAAATGGATGCCAGAAAAGACTGAATATTGCACTAGAATTCTGAGAAGCTAAAACAAAGAGAAGAAATGATGAAGTTAAAAGAACTAAACAGAAGATTTCAAAGTACACTTCATGAAGACAAAGAATTATATCAAAATCTTCAAAGAGCTGGAGTCAGAAAAACAAAAGGAAAGAACTCATAGTATTTCTTAAGTTGAGGGAACTGAAGAACAAAATCAAAACCTCAAATTGTAATAATGAAAGATGCTATGGGCAAAAACGGAAGCAGGAAGTATCAGAAGAAAATGGAAGGAATATAGAGTCATTGTATAAAAAAAAAACCTAGCTGAGAGAAAAGCATTTTAAGAAGTAGTTGTTGTTACATGCCATAGAGTCACTTGCGACTCATAGCGACCTTATGTACAAGAGCTCTATACGCTCTTCTATTCTAT